TGTAGCGTTTTAGTAGATGTTAAATAGTAGTAAAAAAGTAGAATTTGACTTCCTTTGTTTTTCATAAACACATTTCCACGTAAGAGTTAAAATAGTACCCTACAATGTTATCCTTTTGATAGATCAGCTATAATATTAGAATCAGAGTTATGTTACAGCCATCAAAAGTGACAGAAGTCACAAATTAGAAATATGCCTTTGCTCAAGCTGCAGCCAAGCTTTTGAGTTAAAAAATAGAGTAGAAATAGAATTAGATAAAAGCATCAACCATAGATGCTTTAAAAAATATAGAATATTTGTAGCCAGTGCTAATATCAAATGGTAAAGGGACCATTTCACAAGCATTTACTTCAAAAGTAGATAAAGTTACTTACAGTTTATGTACAGTTTTATTAGATACTTGCCAAATTCACTTGTGTTCACACATGAGTGAATGTTGACAATGCAAAAGTCCATATGAGTGTAGCCTAGATTAATGCCTAGATCAATGAGATAGATTACAACCAACAGAGATTCAAAAGCATTTAAAAGCATTTTGATGTATTTGTGTATAGCACAAAAACAGTATGGTAGATATTTAGATATTGAGAAGTTTCCAGCGCAAACACCATTGTAGAATAACTGACCCCAACCCCAAACCTAATTAGCTACTATTAGGATAATACTAATTTGATTAATGATGTACATTCATCCCAAACTGCCTGACAATAATATCTTTAGATAATAAAAAGTAATAAATCACTGACCACTATAGAAGTGTAAATGTTGACCATTTGCCTTACTGTGTTCACAGTTTTATTCCTGAGAATGAGAATAGACATGGAGCAAAATCCAACTGATAATAAGCCACTGATAATGAAAGTAAACCACAGAGAGATTTATTAGATTAAAATGTATGTTTAAGAATATGGCTCAATAGAAGCAAATATGCAACACATATTTGTGAATAGATTAGAATAGTTTTAAACTATAGTGAATAGTGAAAGTAAAGTACACAGTCTAAGATTGAAAAGTGAAAATAATACAGTGGAGTGTAGTGTAAACAATTAGCATTAGAATAAAAGTAGAGTAATAAAAGTGAAATTAGCTTCAAATTTGAGACTCAGCTCGTTTTTGTCTGTGTTTTGACTGAATCTGCTGAGTTCTTGTGTGTCCAATAGTGTTTGTTTGTTTTTATTTTTGTTTGTTTTTTATTTTTGATTTGTTTTTGTTTGTTTTTGTTTGTTTTTGTTTGTTTGTTTTTTCCCAGGATAGAGGATAAAATCCACTGATATTGATTTGATGATTATGAGTTTAATGCATACATTTTCTTTGTTTTTAATAATTTTTTAAAGTTTTTTTTTAGGATTTTTTTTTTTTTTCTTTTTCCACTTTATTGATTGATTGATTTGAGTGATCACATGTGATTATGTGATCAAAGGGGAGGGTATTAGTATTAGATAGCAATATGGCCTACGTGCAGGACTGTACAAGGACTCTACAAGGACTCCATGTTATGACTATGATTTGACTGTCTCTTTGTGACACGTATGTCTTTCGATGTGTGACGTGACAATGACTATATAAACTGTGTACTGCCTTTATTCTGTCTGAGGAAAAGAAACAGAGTAAACCAGTGGAACTTGAGAGAAACTTAAATAAACTTCCAGAGTTTGGCACACCACGATCCGTCTCTGTCTGCTAAATCCTAACAACAATACAGTATAGCTTAACGTGATTACAAAAATAAATGAATACAAAAAATAATGCCTTTTCTGCTGACTTCTGTCCTTCACTTAGAGTAACAATGTGCACTCACTATAGTCTCTTTATCAGGTGTATCGTTCCATGCCATTAGCTGCTCTACGCATACCTAGTTATTACTGTAAACATTATTCTGCAACCTACAATTGCTAATGTAACATCCTGATTACTGCCTTACAGCCAAGGCGTTGGTGGTTTTTTTAACTCGTAGCCACCTCCAACAAAGGCTTTTTATTCTAATCATGTGAGTGCCTTTTCTCAATTCAAATCCGGCTCAATCCCCATGAGACAGGGTAGTTTTAACCTCCTGATGATGTGTTGTTGCCATAATGAAATCCCTCAAGACGCAGCTTTTCTCTATAGTGTTCTACACCAGGTGGCAAAGGGTCCCCTTGTTTTTGAGTGTATTCCTGCATTCCCACTGTTCTGCACTGTGCGGTGGACATTTCTGTGGGAATAATATTTATATTGTAACTATTACATGCATTTTGAATCAAACAATTTATTATGTTATAACTACTCTCTGCGACACCGCTTTAGCTTTTTCTTTGTCAAATGCATTAAAAATCCCACAATAATTGGAAATTTGTTAAAAACATAATTGATAAGTAATGAGTATTTTGTTATTGAAAAACCAAGCCAAGTTATGCAAAATGTGACATGAAACCTTTATTTTGTGCTCAAGGATTGTCCTCAAGTACAACCTTATCAAGCACTTTCAAGTCTGAACGCATTGTGTGCAGACATATGATTTACGTTAATTAATTGGTTTTGAAAGAGAAATAAGGATGACAACTTGAGTAGGGACGTCTCTAAATTTGATAAAAGTGGATATTCTTACTAACAGCCTTTATGTACTGATGACTGGAGGCTGCATCATAGTGTTTTTGCTCTGCCTGCATGACCTCATCTTCACCATCCAGCCATTAACTTAAGCTCAAATGCTTTTATTGATCTCCTCTAACATGCTTTTGCAGACTAATAAATTCCATATCGTGTCTATAGAAAAGAAAGCTAGAGGCTAATGAAATGGACCACCATGATACGTGCAAATCTAAGAAAGGTTTAATGTATTCTCACAAAACCAGATTATTCTTCTGTCTTGGCCTTATAGACTTGCGCTGTGTAATCTAAAAGCTGCTAAGGAAAGCTCATCAAGATTAACAAAAGCTGTCTGGAAATCCAAGTTTAAACCTTTACATCTCAAAAACACCTTGGATGCAGCTACGCACTGTCCATCTGTGGTTAGAATCATGGTACAGTATAGTCTGCGTTTTCTTTTTCTTCATACAAGTAAAACCTGTTTGGCTAAGTAGAACTCGCTTGAATCCTTTTTATTGAAAGTAAGTAAGTAAGTAATCTTTATTTATATACCGCCTTTCACAGACCAGAGTCACAAAGCGGTTTACATTTGTTATTATTGTATTACTCAATGGTCAGAAAACAGGAGCAAACAGGTAGTCAGCTGTGTGTCTTTCCACAATATACACCAGAAAAATATGGCTGTTTTGTCATTGCAATCATTTCAAGAATGTGGGAAAAAGTTTTCCAATCCAACCACTATCCTTAAAAACACAAAGATCTTTATTTATATAGCACCTTTCACAGACCAGAGTCACAAAGCGCTTTACAATTGTTGTGAGCATTTATCTCTCACTCCTCACCTCTGGCAAAAGCCAGACCTATTGTGCATGTTTTTAGTGGTAGGGGAAACCGGAGCACCCAGAAGAAACCTATGCAGACACAGGGAGAACATACAAACTCCACGCAGAAAGACCTTATTCCAATAGGGTCTTGAACCCAGGACCTTCCTGCGGATGAAGCTTGGTAGTTATTATAGTTTTGCTCGTTATTTGATGAAAATTGTTCAAACGCTGTTTTCTAAATCAATGACTCACATGATGTTCTTCTTGTGTGTAAAGTGTGTAAACGTGTGTAACTGAACAATTTCCCTATTTAGTGACGAATACAAAATCTACTTACTGAAAATGAACATTAGGAGGTTACAGACTTGCAATGTATGAATAAATAACTTCATAATGGAAGGACTAAAAAAGTGACGGCTAAAGTTGCTTTTGCACCAAAGACGAGTCCAATTATTTAATTGATGGTCTCTCTATAGTCACTCCCAGGAACCCGTTTTCATAGACGTAAATTGAACTTGGTTTAAACATCTATGGCTAATCTTGCATGGTGGGTACTTATTTATTTATACATTTCTGTGTAGTTCACGTCTTCAAGAGTTTTCAAAAAAGTTGAGCTATTCTCTAAATATTACAGCTACTGATAATATTACTGGTGTAAAATGCAATGACACAGACACAGCTCTCAGCGCTTGCCTTCTCCTATTTGACCTTCCGGTCCTCCTCTCCTATGTGTGTGTGTGCGTGTGTGTGTGAGCGTGTGTGTGGGTGTGTGCATTTGTGTGTGTGTATGGCACCTAACGACTTGGCAGCTGTGGCCGTGTCTTTGCATTTTTTTTGTTAATTTCAGAGAGTGGGGCTGTGGCTGTGGAACAAGACTAAGAACCTGCTGCCAAAAACACCACTCTGGACAGGTCACTGGAAAAACTGCATCACAAAGTGAGCTTTAAAAGTACTATGATACTATGGCATAACACAGTCACATGTCCTCTTGTCATCTAAACAGTTGCCACGTTTGTGTTTTACACAGAAGCATAGCTTAAAGGAAATGTATTCTGAGCTCTAATGCTCCCAATTGGCAGAGATATTTGGGGGCATGTAGTGCATGGATTGTTTGACTCATGGCTGAGGATAAAGAGGATGAGGAGAGATTTGTAATTGTGATGCATTACTTGCTGACATACTCTAACTTAAATCAAACACCAATCGTAAAAATGTCAATAAGTCAATAAATAAACCAATAGTAAAACATATATTATTTAATCTATAAGATCTTGGGAATTTAAATTAAAATCCGTCTGAACTTAATCTTTTTAATAGCTAAAGGGATTGTCTCTGGTTAATTTTCTGCGCAGCAATAAAAGCTCTAGAGTATTTTTCAACTGTTTAACAGTGCAGCACAACTGGCTCATTAAACGTTGGCTGCTTTGAAAAATAGGCTAATAACAGTAAGACACTAAAGCACTAAAATAGTTACCAGCCCATTTTTACGCCCTGTTAAATAAATCAAATTAGTTACAGTATGTAAATAGTTGTCAATGGCATACGTCTAATCTCTAATGAGACCGTGGTACCCTACTCTTGTCTTTGGAATAATAGTAATATGTTACTTACCACCCACCAGTAGTACACATCAGAGGGCAGCTCGATGTTGTCGCGGGTCCACACAGGAGAGATGTCTGGGTCGTAGTTTTCATCAAACCACTCAGACACTCCAGGGTCCCCCACGCAGCGCAGGCAGGCACAGGTCTTCTGCTGAGGCAGGTCCGGGGAGGACAGCCGGTGGGCGCCCACATAGTTTGGTACCAGCTTCACTCGCCTGGACTCCTCCCAACTGGGGGGTTCCAGGTAGTTTAAGCCCACCCCCCCTCGTAGAGACATGGAGAAAAAGAGTGAGGTGAGGAAGACCAATACCAGTGTCCCCAGGAGCATCCACAGTCGTCGGGAGCACCTGACCCTACCCCCCTTGTCCAGTTCGCTGCTACCTCCGCCCCCCGGACCCCCTCCTGTGGCGATCCAGGGCCTCAGCTCGGACAGTCTGCCAGATGCTCCTCTGGACAAACCCCCTCCCCAGGTCCCCCAGCCCCAGCGCCGGTCCCGCTGCAGGGTGGAGGACAGAAAACGCCCCCCCCACGGCCATGCCCCCACCCCTGTGCCTGCCACTGTCCCGAGCCCACGGCCTCCGCTGAGCCACCACCAGGTCCTGTTCAGTGTGACTGGGACCACCCCCCGACTCACACTGTGCACCCCGGGATCACACACGTTGCTGTCCGGTAGATAAGCTTCACTCCTGTTTTTTTAAATCCTAAACTCTGGATTTTTCTATGCCTCTTGTACCCTTCCCCTCGCTCTGGTTTCTGCTGCACTCCTAGACTTTCTTTTCCCTCTCTCACCACCGACGTTCATTCTCTTTCAAATCCAGCACGTGTTGATAGATGCCATTCCTCTTAAGTTCGAAACCCATCTGTGGAAGCTCCAGGAGCACGGCTGTGTGGCTTTCAGTTGCTGTTGATGCACTGGAGCGATGTGGAGTGCAGGCGGACTAAAGCAGAGCTGAGAAGAGAGGGAGGGCTGAGGGGAGGGGGCAGAGGAGGAGACACAAGGAGAACGTCTGTCTTGAAGCCTTTTCCATCACGACTACAAAGTTCCAAATAAAACCACCTTTTTTGCTTGTGTCTCTTGTTTCCTCTTTGGTCTTTCTCCTTGGGGTTCTTGTCTTAACTGTCTCTCACTTTACATCTTCCCCTCCATCTTGCCTTCCATCCCAGTGCTATTCAATCTATTGTCTTTGCTCCTTTACTTCACTAAGGCTCCCGGTGGATGGCAGTAAAGAACTCTCCTCTTGCCATTTCTTTAAACTTTTTTCACCAGTTTGTGCGCATGATGTGAATTCTAATGATACAAGCGGAGCAATTCAAACAGCTCAAGATAACAGAAAAAATGTCACCACACAGTCCCAGTGAGAGCCTTTTCTCCGGTGTCCATGGAGGTACTGAAAAAATGTTCAAACAGTTTTCTGTGTTTGAGAAGTAATCAAAGCCTCCCAATTGAAATGACTGTTTCTCAAGACGGACTGTTATGAATTAAAAAAAAGCAGAACTGTCATGAAAAGGCGACGGTAGTTCATAGGCCACAGCAAGCAAAAAAGACAAAAACCAATCAGAGCCAAATCCCCTCTTCATTGCATCTGGCTCTTGGACGACGAGAGGAAGTGGGGCAGGGCCAGCATCTGTCCCACACCCTTTGTCCCGCTCATTTATTGTGAGTACGTGTTAAGCCAGAGTTGTACACATCTGCCAGTGCTACTAAATTAATTGCTGCAGCTGTGCAGGTGTGGGTTTTTCAGAACTAAAGTTTCACGAGGCTCAGCAACGTGGAGATGACGTGTGTTCGGTGTAATCAGTAATCGAGGAGACGGACCCCTGCAGTGTCCACGTTCTGCTCCGTCACCTGATGTATGATAGTTCTGCTGTAGCGGCTGTGTCCAGAGCCTGAAGGCACTCCACTTGTTATAATGGCACCAGAGCGGTTTCAGCTGCTCAGGGACCCGTCTCCATCATGGGCCACTGCTTGTTTACTGTTGTCCACACCTGCACACACAAAAACAACAGATTTTATTTTAATTCATTTTTTAATAACGACAAATATTCTCTAAATGAGTCTGTGAATGTTTTGTACTCAAAGATTCAACTTAGCAGGTAAAAGCAGGTGTGAGAGCCACAATGGTATGGTATGGCTCTGGTGGTATGCCCGGTATTTTTAAATATGTCCGACACCAGCGTTCAGGTGAGAGGTCGAGGGGATCTGAGCAACCATATTTATTTTCCTTATGGTTTGTTTTGGGGGTTTAGAGCATGTGTGCATGTGACCAATGTATGTATGTCGCTATGTAAGTCCCATGTTTATGAAATGTTCCCTTGCTGCAATTCTAATTCACCAGCAATTCACCAGCAAATTAATTCCTGCAGTCTCTACAGCGGGTTTTGTTCCAATAGTGTTTGAAATTGCATTTAAGACTTTTGTTTCTGTATCTCAGGGCAACAAAAAGCATATATACAGTGCATTTTTTGTACAGGTTTTCATGATTATTAATTTTGTTTTGTTGTGCCTTTGAAATGTAAACTCACTGTTACACACTTTTAGAGATTAGTCCCAGATGTCATAGCGTCAAACTGGAATGGCTGTCTAGACTGATAGAAAGCCAAATCCAGTGAGCAGAATAATGATAACTGACACATTTCACCCTCTTGGTGTGAAGCCGCTGCATCCAACACTGAACTATGACTACACATATGACAAGATCACATCTAAATACATTATGCAGAGATGCTGTTCAGACCTGATGTTTTCCCTCGTCGAGTCAACCCATTTCTGAGGCATTGCCATGGCAGCCACAGAAGAGTGATGCTCAGTTGTTAAGGCAACATGGCGCAAAGATACCAACCTTGACCCAGCTAATCAGTTCTAGAGAAATGGGACAGGATTTGCTTTTTGGAGGGTATCACTTCACCATAAATTTGAAACATAGTGACAGATATGTCATAGTGATGGATATGTTTAATGCAACTCTCAACGGTTATCAAGCACATGGCTTTTCTTTTAAATGTATACCAAAATAGAATAATACAAGATTTAAAACAAAAAAATCATTTCTTTTGGTCGTGAAACAAATATTATGAGACTATTTACTTTAATTTGTTCATGTTTTAGAATATGAAATAATATAATAAGTACAAAATATGGTGAAAAAGGTCAAATGCTTTCACCTGTAACTCCCTATGCAACCATTCGACGGAACAGTTGCATTTGTTTATTATATTTTCCTAATTTGAAAAATACCAGCTGCAAACACACATGCAGGGCCATGTAATTGCAAAGAATATCATATCACCTGATAAATTACCAAAACTTTTTTTTAGTACAATGATGTTATACTATTGCAGGACTGAAAAGGGAGATTTTAGATAGAAGGGGTGGAGTTACTTGATTGTACCAGAAATTCCTGATATTACCGTTGTTGGCTCTAAAAACAACTTCAGGTCTGTTTTTGACGAGGGTACAATGCTGTAACATGGTTAAAAAGTCAAGGTTAAAATGTCTAATATGAAATCCTGAGATTGCTGGGTGTGAGGAGGATACTCTATGAGAAACACTGCATTCGCTTAATTCTGCAGATTCTTCATGAAGCCATTAGTTTCCACAAACATTGATCAACGTTTTATCATGATGTGGTGCTGCTACTGAAGTATTTTATATAAGCAGTTTCACATCATTGCTATGCATGAAAACACTTAATCTATAATGCATGGATACAAACAACACAACTCGATTCAAAAGAAGAACCTCAGAAAATGCGTTTAATCAGAGAAGAAACACAGCTTGAAGCATAAATGTATCATGTTTGTTTTTCTACGAACAACGTTTTGTACTTTCAGATCAAAAACACATTTCATTTGCAGCACTTTTAACTGCCACTCACTGCCCACGTCTGTCTTCCTGTGTGTCCTGTATTCCATTCACATTTACCTATTGTAACGTCCTGATGCCATCACACTTTCACAGCCCACATTTTTCTGCAAACTGCTCCAAACTGTTTCAATCTTTCACTGTAATTGTTAACAAGGCTATCTTTGCTGCTATTTTTTGAGGACCAGTACTTGAATATTCTGTAACTACATTACAGCATAACTCATGCTGTAGACATTAAGAAAGAGGTTTTTATTGTATTTTTGCAATCATAACTTCTCATTCTGTACAACTTGAACAAAATAAAACTCACTTTATTTGGTTCACTGTTCTATATTTTGAAGGTACGAACGCGAGACGCACGTTCAGCAAATAAACGAGAGATAATAACTTTGAATTTTTAACCATGTTACAGGTTTCCTTGATTAATTGTTCCTGGTTTAAAAAATATTTAGATTGAACAAAGATTCTCTACAATCAAAATTTTTTAATCAATATAATTTCCCACAAAATCATCAAAACTTTGTTTAGTCCACAGGCTCAAATAGGTGCCAGTAATAGTCTTGTGCTAGGGGCTCGAAAGTGTGGTTCTGTGTTCCAGAAATCTTCTGTATGTGTGATTACATGTAGGGGGCGTGGTCTCAGTATCAGTGTGCATATGATTGGGGAATGACTTGGATAGTATTAGAATGGCATCTGTTTGTTTTATTCAAGATAAATATATTAAAGTTCCCTGTATAGAGCCAAAAATCAGTTTAAAACATTTTCAATATATTCCCATAAATTCTCGTTATTTTCATAAATTCTTCTTGAATCCCATGGTTTCCATCTTTGAAAATTAGCAGAATTTTGTAACCCTATCTGTACCTGAAGTGTGGCTTTAAAATGCTATGCAACCAGTCTTATTTTGGCTTACTGCTTCCAAGAAATAAAAGTCTCACAGTGAATAATCCTCCCTCTGGTTCCAGGAGCTGATGCTCTTAAACGTGTCCTCATGACTTTGATGAGAAAAGTTTCAGTCCCTGGAGCAGTGTAGGTTTTATTCCTTGTTTCATATGGGAAAGGGGCCAATGCAGCAGTGCAATATACTTGTAAATCATATGTAGGACCTAAATACGGGGGACTTTGAGTTTGACATATGTCTCACAGATCATTTTTAGGTAGAACTTAGGGTTCCTAACCCGACCTTCTGTTAATGTAATCTAATGTTATTCTTAATGAGGCTCAGGATTTAGGGGGACTCGCTGGCAGCAGCTCTGTTGTAAATAATCAACTCTGAAATGTCAAGTTTTGTACGGTCAGCAAAGCTATATTTAGCCACACTGATCCAAAAGCAATGGATCATTTTGTTCCAAAAATTGCAAAGTCACATATGGATAAAAACTATGTACAGCTTGAGTAAAAACTTTTAAAGACACAAAGTTAATAAATAAGAAAACAAGGGGAACAGAGTTGCGCAGTGGTTAAAGATGTTGACTTCAGAGTAGTGTTTGCATGTTCTCCTTGTGTCTAGGCCTTTACCAAAGTAGAACTTTGATGTGAATAACACATGTTGTATCAGTCATTACGATTGACTGTATGACAAACTTTAAAAACTAAAACATGTGGACTTAAGGGAATCAAACAGGAGTTTAACTTGTTTTGGTACTGCTATTCAACTTTTTTTCCCTGGGGCCAGATTTAATAGAGCCAACCAATAGAACCAATATTTAAGTTTGAATGTTAGACACACAAAAATGTTGTTAACCCTTTTAACTACAAAATTACAGCTCCTCATAAAAAGAATTACACCATATTTATGTGAAAAAATATACATTTTGGTGTAAGTAATTCTTGTCCCGAAAGTTAAATCAAGAGTTGATTCTCTGACTAATCTGTTTAGCCAGAATCTGTTAAATCTGACTCTCATCAATGGGCTTCAGGGATTTTCATTGTCAAATCTGCTCTAAGTATTCTTAGAGAAACACGACCCTAATGACACCTGGGTCATCCGTGCAAATGGATGTGCGTCAGTCCTGGACTCATCTACAGCCTGTGCCCCACGGCTGAGCAGCGTATCTGAGCTGTCCCACTCTGGCTGGATCTTATGCTGCTTTCAGACCGCCAACGCTGAAACGCTGAAGCCTCGCTCACCAGACACACATTCTCTAGTTTTCAGATGCAGGGGTCTTCAGACCAGAAGTCCTGGCGCGCACCGGAAGTGGCGGAAGTAGCCGGCGGGTTTTGATGCTAACAGAGTTTAGCTAGCGGCTTCTTGTGTACAGATCTTCTCCAATAATGCAGCTTTGCTGCGTGTCTGGGTTCAGAGACTTTAACAGTAGTATGTGTTCATGGAGGTGCGCAATAAGTTTATTTTATTATTAAACAGCACTTCCGCATCGGCGAACACGCTCGAAGCAGTTGCATAAAGTCACGGAAGCATGAAAACTCACAGGTTAACAAGCACTATGTCCCCCATTGTCAACCCTGGTTTAGTCCTGATGTAGCTCCTGTTTTGGCTGTTTACGAGTATTTTCAGTCTGCTCGCTCAGACCGCTTATGTTCCCGTGACCACTTTGTGGCTCTCTGATTGGTTGCTGCACGAGCGTCCCGAGGAAAGGTTGAGCAAAATTCATCTCCTGCGTGCGTCGATTTTTCGTTCCTGCTCCTCCCCTTCGACTTTCCCGCGTAGTCCGTGCGTCTCTACTGACTAGTCACTGCGTGCATTCTGAGACGCTTGTGCGTTTTGACACTCGAACGCGCGTCACCATTGACTTTGCATTGAAAGCCAACACAACGCTAGCCTGACTCTCGCCAGACCCATGTAGTTCGCTGCACTTCACACATGAGTCTGGGACTGAGCCATAGTGGTTGGATTTCAGAAGGCAGGGCCTTGTAAAAAAAATCCTTGTATGTGATTGGATAGACCACTTGTCCGTTATCTTGAATGAAGTCTGCTTTCAACCACTCGCATCGACGCACACGGCTCCCATAGGTTGCCAAATCCCAGCAATATTTTCCAACCCAAAATCCGCGAGAATACCCCAAAAAAAATATATAATCATAATGATTTTTTGGCCAAAAACGTAATGTAATCAACTTGGGCTATCATGATTCTGTTTATTGTCTTTCTGTTTATCTAATA